CTTCAAGTAACTGAAAGTAACTTGAAGTAGCTTAAAGTAGCTCAAAGTAACTTCAAGTCCAAAAGTCCGCCGTTTCCCCCTTGTACGGGATACTTTTTTCTAGCTTTTTATATTCGGTGACTAGCACACTCTAGATATTTTTCAGACCACTAGAACTCATCGGATCCAAAATTTTCAGATCTAGATCCGACGAGTTCTAACGGTCGATCAGGAAACCAGTTTTATTAATAGAATATTTATCCGAAAATTAACGACATGTAATGATTTTCTGACAAAATAGTTCTTATAGTTTAACGAATAAAATAAGCCGATACTTGAATTTCAACTTCTTTTTTTTTTTTCTTACAGGTGGTCCTTTATTTGGAATAATCTGTGGTTTTCTCTGTGTATTTGTATTAAATCGAATTAATAATGAATTAAAAATTGAAATTACAATAACATTTGGCATGACATATTTTATTTTTTATATAGCAGATGCTGCACTCGGTATTTCAGCTGTTCTTTCTCTTATTTCCATGGGTTTATACATGGCTAAACATAAATATTGTATAAGTACTAATGTTCAATTATCAATGGCTGGTGCATGGGAAATAATCACATTTGTTGTAAATATTCTAATATTTACTATTAGTGGTCTTATTTTAGCACATTCATTTGTTGGTATACAAACAAATTTAACTAGTAGAGACATTGGTATAGCTTTAGTACTTTATCTATTAATTCATGTAAGTAGAGCATTAATTGTTGGTGTATTATATCCAGTAATTACATGGAGTGGAATGCCTTTGAATCGAAAAGAATGTGTGATATTTGCATGGAGTGGTTTACGTGGTCGAACAGCTACAATTCTCGTTCTTTTAATCTATTTAGATTCTGAAATTGATTCCGCTACTCGTGAACGTTTTCTTTTTCATATTTCATTGATTGTATTATTTACATTAATTATTAATGGTGCTAGTAGCAAGTTTTTAGTGAAAATGCTTGGTCTTCATAAAGGTATTGTATCATAAAAACAAACAAACAAAAAAAAAGACTATGTTCAACATTTAATAACATATTATTTATTTGTAGGAACACCAGAGAGTCAATCTGTATTATTACAAGCATTAAAACATATGCGTAGTCAAACATCAAGACAAATTAATAATATGAAAGAAGATATTAATTTTGCTAATGTAGATTGGAAAATATTAAATAATTATTTACCAGAGAAATTACTTGAAGAATTAGATGAAGAACGTGATACAAATATTCATCAAAAATTATGTGTAACTCCAACACAAACACATGATGATCTTTCATTAGAATCTATTTCAATATATTCAGATCCATTACAAAATCAACATTATTCTGATCAAATATCTATTGATAGCATTTATCAATTTGATTTAGACTCATTACCTAATGATCAATATATATTACAACCATTTATTGAACAAATAAATAATTCTGATTTAGATTTTGAATGTCATGAAATGAATATGCGAAATGAAATTATCAAAAGATTTTTAACAGCTATGTCAGTTGATTATGAAAAACAATGGTATTTAGGTATGATTCGACGACGAACACTTAGAATACTTATTGAAACTATTGAAGAAGCCAAAGCAAAATTATCACTTAAACGACATTGGCAACTTCTTGTGGAACATTTTTGTATGCCTTTATGGTTACAATGTTTCGTCAAATTTCATAAAATCAAATACTTAAATATTATAACAGAAAAATTATTATTCAATCATTTAATACTCACTATTGAATTAGCCTTGGGTATGTTTGTTTCTTGTTTCTGTATATATAGATATAATTCATTCACTCATAAAACAATTATAAAAAAAACTCATATCTTAAAGAATCTAGGAAAATTCAAGGTTGAACATAAAATGTCCTTTACTGTTTAATTGCAAAAATTGAATCCATCAGAATCATCACAGTTCTGACTGGTGGACTTGTAGACACTCAAATCAGATTCATATGCATGCAATTTTACAATCTCTAACAAAGAACCTACTGCTGCCACATCGCTTCCGCGACGCCATGGACATCTTTGGTTACAACGTAATGCGTAATGGAAAATTCGTGAATTTGATTCTTTCGTCAGGGAATAGTTATTAAGGAAATGTCATGATTTTTTTTTTTTATAAAGTTTGATCAAAGGTTTCCGAGGTCAAGGAAACTTGACGAAGAAATCGATTACAGATTCAAGATCCTCGAGCACGAAAATTTTTGACCAAACTTTATACGAGATCGTAGTTTCTCTGCAAAAACTATTTCTTGATGAAAGAATCCAATCAACGAATATTTCGTTACTATTACTTTGGCAACGCCAAGGACGATGACTGCCGTCGTCGAAGCGATCAAAAACGGTACTGTACACTGTCGTTTTGTACAGTCTGCGACTGTAAATTGATGCTTAGTAGATGCAATATTACGAACGTATTTTTTTCGTGCCCTACACAATTGAGAACGATCGTCAAACAGTCTGAAAATTGAGTATCTGACCGTTTAGAATACTATGAAAATACGATTGTAATACTGTGCCAACCAAACATCGAAAAAAATCTATTTAAAACGGTCGTTTACGATTGGACTTATTCGACCTAGATGAATAACTTCTCTCCTCTAGAAATGACATTTGTCATTCTCTTTTTGATATGAAACAAAAAGAATAAAGATTATTCTATTGTAGCATTTCATTCTGCTAAATCACGTTTGGAAAATATGCTTACAAAATTTCCTGAATTTGCAAATATTGATAATTATATTATAAATAATGTTCTTAACGAAGCAAAAATGTTAAGAGTACGTGCATCACTCGTATTACATGATTTACAACATTCATATAAAAAATGTTGGACAATTGAAATGACAAAACGATGTGCTCAAATGTTATTAAAATATGAATCTGTAGCTATTGTTCAATTATATGAAACGGGCATGCTTAATGAAAATGAATATACACATATTCTTAAACTTATTCAAAAGAAACTTTTTCATTTAGAACATTGCTATTTTATGGGTGTTCCAAAAATACATTTAAATCAAGAACAAGATAGTCCATTTGATAATCTTTCATTATTTGTTAATTTAACCGAAGATGAAAAAGTATATTTTAAAGAATTATTAGAAACACGACATAGATGGTTTCAACCTGGTGAAATTCTCCTACGACAAGGTTATATGACAACAGAAGCTTATTTAATTATACGTGGAATTGTTGAATGTTCTGAAGATCTTTTGACATGTTACAGATCAGGTCATATTATTGGTATTGATGCATTATTTGATAAAAGTTCATCAGTATCAAATCGAACTTATCGAGCTGAAAGTAGTATTGTTGAAGCTTATACAATTGATGAATCAATACTTAATATGTTTTTATCAAATGTTAAAATGACTCGATTAATTTATAATGAAATAGCTCTTCATATGCTTATCAATATGTATCAACAACCAATACATTTATTAAATTATGCACAAATAAAAGTTCTCTTAGATGAATATGCTATATTTTATCAAAATGAAATTGATCATGATCTAATGACAATTCAACTTAAACGAAACGAACGACTCTTTCTTCTCGTAGGTACAGTACAAAGAGAAGAAGATGATTACTTTATGGATGGTCCACAATTGGTAACCGTTAATCAATTGACATCATTCTATTGTAGTTTAGATAAGTTATGTATTGCTTATACATGGACATTAGAAAACGAACAAGAATGTTTACAAATCGTACGATCATTTACAACTAGTTTTCGATTGTCGGATTCAAGTCAAGTCAAAGCAAATACAACAATGATTTATCCATCATATTCAGGCTATACGACAGAATTTACTCCACAATATCATTCTTTAATACAAGTTGCACGATCAGCTGCTCTTATGAGTAATATTGAATTGATTCCTATGGAAATAACAGATCTTTATCATGAGAAAACGTAATTTGGTTTTTTAAATATTTATTGACGATAAAATATTTATTTATGCTTTTATCAGTTTCTGAGCAACATATTATTTTCTTCAATTGATATAAAAATATCGTTTTAATAAATCATACAATCATTATTTAGTTCTCTTTTAGAAAATATATGTGCACTTACAAAAAGATGAGATTGGTTCGCATTTTTTGAAATGGAACCGAATCGATTCCATTTCTGGTGCTTACATATCTTTCAAAACAAAATCAATGGTTTCTAATTTTTTTTTTTGAGATATTTTTGAATAAATTTAAATTAGTTCTTGATAGACATGTGATAAAACATCTATTGCTAAAGGAATACAAAACTAGTAAATTGATCACAAAAAAATGAAACAATTTCAATCATGCTATTCAATGTTATATTGAACAGAGCATTGATGATTAAAATTTACTGGACATAATATAAAACAGAAAGTTTTAACCATATGTTGTTGCTTCAGATTGTTGATGTTGGTAATATTTTCAAATACAAATTCAATATAGTAAATGATACTTCCGATAATCTATTTAATATAATAGAATATTCTTTTGATTTCATTTTCTTCGCTTCTCGATGAATAACATGTGCTGTGATATGACATTTTTGTTTTTGAACACTACTCTAGCGACATCTTTAAATAATTTATTCCTAATTTCATTAAAATAACTAGTTTTACACTGTAAAACTGTGAAACAGTATTTAAAAAAACACTAAATTTATGATCGATTAAAGGAAATCTTTATGAATGGATGGTTTGATTCATCCATATTCTATTCAAAAAATATATTATGGATTTTAGACCGTTGTGTAATGTTAGACCTCCTACCAGTTATCTTGAACATATAATAACAAGTTCATTAAGCACATTGTAAAGACCATTAGTTTTTCTTCTAAAAAATATAATGCTCCAATTGCCAATTATTTTCATTGAAAACTAAAACTAATATTAGTTCATATAATTTCATTTTTTTTTCTTCTATTTTAGATCCTGTACATTGTTTTCTGAACAAATTTTAATTGATATATCCACATTAAATAATGCCCAAACGTGGCTCTTCGACATCTGGTACCGTTGCAGTTGTACCACATAAAAAACAGAAAAATATTGAACTAACAAATGGTCACCATGATAAAGAACAAGATGAAAATTTGCCACCAAATCATAGCACTTATTTATCTCAATGTTTTAAAGAAAATCTTGATGTAAATATTGTTTTGTTTTTCAGTATCAACTATTAAACTAATCATTAATTCATATTAATTATTTTCTAGTTACATAAAAATGCTGGTTCTATTCTTAGAATTAGTGTAAAAAATTTTATGTGTCATACATTTCTTGAATTTGATTTTAATGAAAATCTTAATATGGTTATTGGCAATAATGGGAGTATGTTTTTTCTTTTTTATCAAATAAAACGAATTTCATTCTTTTAAAATAAACTAATTTTAAGGTGGTAAATCTGCAGTAATGAATGCAATCACATTGACTTTAGGTGGTCGTGCAACAAGTACAAGTCGTTGTTCGAATATTGGTCGTTTTATTCAACATGGCAAAAGGTAAATATTCTAATGTTATTTGGCTTTTTTATTGATTAGTTTAAACTTTTGTTCCTTTTTTTTCAGTTTTGCTGAAATATGTGTTGTTTTATGTAATCAAGGTCTTGAAGCAATTGATATCGAACGTTTCGGTCGAGCCATTACAATTATACGTAAAATAACAATCAAAGGTAGCAGTCATTACCTAGTTAAAAATGAATATGGTTAGTTATTGATACTTTTATATTCATTTTTTTTCTACAAAAATATCTCTTTCACGTTTTTTTTTTAATTAGATAAAATAGTCTCCGATAGAAAAGATACAATTGATACAATAGTTGCACATTTTAATATTCAAGTTGATAATCCAATGTGTATGCTTAATCAAGATATAGCAAAAAATTTTCTTAATACAAAAAGTATAAAAGAAAAATACAATGTAAGAATTTTAAGTGTTAATTATTTTGAATTTAAAAATATACTTCTCACTTTTTTAAAAGATTTATTTTCTAAAAAACTTCTCGTTTTTTGTTTCAGTTTTTTTTAAAAGCAACACAATTACAAAAAATGGTTGAAGATCTTCAAGAAAATACCGTTGAAATTCGTAATGCAAAAACTTTACTTACTGATCATGTGAAAGTAAAAAAAACTGATGTTTCTAATTAATTTTTCGATTTTCTAATTAAACTAATAATAAATAGAAAAGAAAAGAAATTCAAGTACAAAAAGAAGATCTTGAAGCTCAATTAAAATTTGCTGAATCAATACGTGATGCAAAAGCAAATGCTGATAATCTTCGAGGACAACTTGAATGGGCTGAAGTAATCAATCTTGAAAATGTAAATAATCTTTTTTTTCGCTTTTTATTTATATTAATTAAAATTTATACGATTTAAGACATTAGCCGAAACAGAAAAAAAAGTTGCTGATGATCAATATGCTGTTCAAGAGTATATGAAAAAACGTGATGCATTAATAGTTTGTTATTTTATTTTTTTCTTTTTCGATTTAATTTTTCTTTGTTTTTATTTTTTGATTAAAATAAATAGGAAGATATGAAAAATGAAAAAACAAAACGTGATGAATTACTTCGTAAAGCACAAGAAGTTGCAAATAATGCGATTGAAGAAAAACGTGTTCATGATGATCTTGAACGGCGAATGAAATTATTTAATAAAGAAAAACGAGATTTATTACATGAAGTTAATAAATTAGAAAAAGAACTTCAAATTCAAAATGAATTAAAGAAAAAACTTCAAAATAAAACCGATGAAATGCGTCGAAAGTAGAAAATTTCTGTTTTATCGATTATTATCAATGTTTTTTTTGTTTAAATTTCTCTTAGAGCAACAGCTAATAATGATTATGATAAAGTTTATAAACGTATAGATGAATTACAAATTTTAATTGCTGAACAACGACAAATACTATCAATGAAAGAAAATGAACAAGTTAATTTTCGACAATTATATGATGATGAACGTCAAAGTCTATTTGATGATCAATCAGTTCTAAAACAACATGAAGATTCTTTACGTCGACGACGTGCTATTATTCAACAACTTAAAGCAGCTAAACAAGATCGTGTAACAATTTATGGACGTTATACAATTTCTATACTTAAAGAAATTGAAAAACAAGCTCATCGATTTAAACAAATACCTATTGGACCTGTTGGTAAGATTTTGTTTTTTTTAAATTAAATCAAAAGATATTAATGAAATTTAAATGTAAAATTGGATGATCGTCTTACAAAGATTTTAAAGTCATGTTCAGAAAGAACATAAAATCCTGATTCTTATTATGATAGAGTAAAGGATGTAAATGAAAAGATTCAATTAACTTATTATAGAAATATTAATACAATCATATTTAAGGAAATCTAAATTAGAGAAAAATATTTTTAGGTAAACATATTCGTCTAGTTGATCGAAAATGGGCTATTGCGATTGAACAAGCTATTGGAAATGCTATATCAGGTTATCTTTGTTCATGTCGTGAAGATGAAAGAGTTCTTCTTGAAATTCTTTCACGTTGTGTACCAGCACACGAAATGGACTATCGACCAAGTGTTACCGGTAAAAAAAAATCTTTTGCTTTTTATTTTATTTAATTAAATGATATTTAATAGTAATGAAATACCAATCAAAAGTCTATCAAAATCTTCGAGTAACTATCGTTGTCTTCTTTTTTTTTGCATTAATATATTAGAGAATTTTCTTTTTTCAGTTACCTCCATCGAATTTTACAACAATTTTATCAATGCTTGATATTGATAATCCAACAGTTGCTTGTTTTTTAATTGATCAGGTTTATTTTAATGTTCATTATTTTGTTTTTATTTAAATATAGATAAATTCTAGGGACGTATTGAACAAAGAATTCTTATGGATAATTATGAAACTGCTCGTCGTATTATGGAAAAAAGTGCTCCACCAAATTGTTTTGCTGTAAGAGGTTTTTTTTTCTTTTAATTTTTATCAAAAAAATTCATTTTCTTTGTTTTCTTCAAAGGCTTATCTTCCAAATGGTACAGAAATGCAAAATACAAATGTATTTCGTTGTTATACATGTAAAGCTCAAAATCCTCGATATTTTGTTGAAGATTTTGCTGAACAAATTACGTATGTTTAATATAGATTTTTCTTTTAATTTTGATTAAAATTTAAACAAACATAATAATAATAATTTAGTCGTGCAGAAAAAGATTGTAATAATATTGAACGAGAAATTCAAATTGTTAAAGAAAAATTAAATGAAACACAAAAACGAGTAAATCAACATCAACAAACAGTCACAGCATTAGATACAACAATAAATGAAATTAAAATTAAATGTGGTCGATTAGGAAAAGTAAAACTAATATTAACGTCGAGGATGAATAGGACTGTTTTCCAGCCTCATAGAGATTTAAGGTTTTCGTATTGAAATCGAGTCAAGAATGGGCCTTGATCATATTCTATGGATCAAAATTGCAATAAATGACATCACAGTTGTTGGGACTTGGATACCTTCAAGGGATTCGAGAAAAACTTTTCTTCTGTATTACGCTCGTAGCATATCCAGACATATCAATTCGAGTATCCTGATTATGAATATGATATTTAGAATGAATAGAAATGTATTTCTTGCAGGATACAGCGAGCTCGATGTGGCCATTCATAGGATTCCCTCATAGGACTTCCTTAGCTTTGGAATTACATCTTAAATGAATAGTGTTTAAAAAAACCAACTTGTTTTACTCAAAACCATGAGTCCTATCCGAATCTGAGCAAGAAAAAAAAACCTAGATAAAGTCCAATTAAACGATAAACTGACGGTTTTGGGCCTATGCTTGCTTGTGTTCACCCTATTTACTTATGAACCCGATGCTGCTTCAACATGAACGTTTATGCAAACAGGTAAATTTTTGACCGTTATCCAATCGCTGTCAAATAAAATTGAAAAATGTCTGCATCATAATTTTCCAGAAGACTTTTGAAGATTCCGGAGGAAATCAGATAGGCCTCTGGAAAATCGATACAGCCATTGTGTTTCGCATGGCAACAGGATTCACTTGACGTTTAAGCTCTAGGCTAATGAAGTTTAGCCATAAAATCTTAAGGGTAACTATATCGAGCTCACTATACTCCACAGGAAGTACAGTTTTATCCATTCTAAATATTATATTCGTAATGAACATACTCGAATTGATATATCTGGGTGTGTTGCGAGCGAAATGCAGAAAAAAAGATTTCCTTGAATCCCTTGAGAATATCTCAACCCTCAAAAATCATGTTGTCATTTATCACGATTTTTACCGGTAGAATACGGTCGTGGATAATCTCAACTCTATGGAGGTCCAGAAAACATTCTTGTTCTTACTCGTCGTTTTATTTTCAAAACATGTTTGAAATTTTTTATTTTAAAAGGAACTTCGAGAATTACAATTAATTGAAGCACCAAATGATTCTAATATAAACGATTGTGAAAACGAATTATCTGAATATGATAATCGTATTGATATTCTTAAACAACGTATTCAAGATCAAAAATCAAAAGCTGAAATGGAATCAACTGAATATCGACAAGTTTTAGACGATTTAACACAAGCACGACAACGTGTTATGGATAAACGTGAACAAGCTGAACAATGTAAAACAGAACTTCAAACCTGTGATGCTTTAAAAGAAAATGGACAAAGAGCTATAAATGAATTACAAAAAGGACTTGATGATAATCAAAGAAAATTAGAACAACATGAAGTTACAAAAAAATTTATTGAAAATAAACTTCATGTACAAATTGAAAATGCTCAAAATTTAGTTAAACAACGACCTAAAGATGCAATTGACGTAAAAACAATTCGACGAAGTCTTGATGCTCTTCTAAAATTTATTGAAACACATAAAAATGTGTATGTATATTTTAATCAAACTATAAATACAATACTGGTTAAAAATATAAGACTAACGTATTATTGATCTTTTGTGGAACTCACATTTATTTACGAAGAAAATAGTGAGTGAAAGTTTTACAATTCCCTCGCCTCTCCTATTACAGACCTTAGCCACAGAGGAGAACAGCCATTTGATTCTTTTCTCAGAGTTTCTTAGCAACTGAAAAAAGCGCTGAATGATATTAACGATAAGGCTTAGACTGTTCTAGAATATTCCGAAACCTTCCTCGAAATCAAACGTTTGTGAATGTTCTAAACTAGTGCAGTTTTTAATTGTTGCGGAGATAAAAATTTATATTTAAGATGCTGAGCATAATAGATAGCGATGCATTGATTTGCCACAGTCGTCATTTGATATATGATAGGTCGTTGAGACCTGCTCTGGATATAATGCAGCAACCCTCATTTTATTCAGAATTTTGTGCTCGTAAAAATAAAATTTCATGCAGTCTTCTAAGACTTGAAAACTATCGTATTTGGTTTTCCAGAAGTCTTTCTCTTAAAAATCATCCATGAAATTTCATGTAAGAAATACATTTGATAGAGAACTTCATTCGCTCTTCAAATGATTATTTAGAATTGAGTTAAATACTTGATGTCGTAAAAAATAATCGAAAAAACGTTATTCTTATATTTTTGATCAGTATTTTAACGATGAAATATTATTTATTTTTTAGTTCACATAATGTACAACAAATTCAAGATCGTTTAGAAGCAGTTAATGAAAATTTAGATACATTTGGTGAAGTTGTTGATAAACAAGAAAAACTTATTCATGTATGAATTGTTTGTTTGTTTTTTTTTGGCTGTCAAAATTTTTTTATTATGTTGTTTATAGAGATTATTTAAAGCTGCACGTTATCGTGGTCAACAATATAAAGCTCTTTTAGAATCAACAGCTAAATTAACTAGTAGTTGTTTTAGTTCATTTCTTGAATCACGAAATTATACTGGTGAAGCTATATTTAATCATCAAGAAGGAACTCTTTCACTTGAAGTTTGTTGTTTGACTTTTTATTCGAATTTATTTGTATTTATAATATATAGATTACACCACGTGGTGATGAAGTTCATAAAGATACTCGTTCATTATCGGGTGGTGAACGTTCATTTTCAACTGTTTGTTTTATGCTTGCTCTTTGGGAAGTTGTTGAAATGCCATTACGTTGTCTTGATGAATTCGATGTTTTCATGGTAAAAAAAACCTGTTTTCTTTTTTCAATTTAAAATAGAATGTAAGAGATTATAATTATTAAGTAATATGATTCAATGATAGATAATTACGAAAATTATTAGTTGATAATAGAATTTTTATTGAATAATCCTATTGCAAAAACTGCAGATATCAAACAATTCTTTTTCACGTGATGAGTTTTTTTCGAAATTTTCGTTTATGAAATATTTTGAAGTTTGACTTCATAATAGAAATAATATAAAAAGTAATTGTTAAATGGAGATCATTAGTAGTACCACAATATTGCGTTACTAAAATAATTTAAGAGTACAAAATGTCTTTCCAAAGTATTTCCTATGAGCAGTATTCGATAATATCCATATAAAAGATTATTTTAAAAATAATCTTACATAAAAGAGGACTAGTTAACAGTCAAATATATACATTAGAGATGAGCAGAAGACAGAACAAAAAGGGAGAAAACTAATTCTGTGGTCTTACCTGCTTGACATTAATTCAACAGTGAATCATTATTTAAAATATTGACTGGATTGAAATTAGATAACTTGAACATTGAAAACGAAAGAGAGAGGAGAATCGAAAATCGTAACTGATCACTACCATTGTAGTGTAAGGAATAGAAGTCAAAACAACTCTACGTTTTGTAAGCTTGATCTGTCCATGAGTCTCTTCACCTTAATTATACTTGTATTTTGTTTACGTTGGTCTGCCTGTCATGACCAATATATAATTTTTACGTGCTAATATTATGATGACAATTGAAGAAGACATCAAATGTTGACATATAACAAAAATACAGATAAGAAATCACTTTTGAGTCGAGACTATGTGCATTATTTAGGTTCTAATGAGCTATGAATACTCTTTAAAAAGTTTTGGCTAATAGCTTATTATTGCCGAGCTATCGTATCCTTTTTAATAGATTACCATGAGTCTCCTCAGGAAAACCGAGTTTTGAATTTCGACTTGAAACTTTGCACAATGACAAGTCTTAACGAGAATAGCTTATTGTGAAAGTTTAAAATTTTTCGATTACACCAATTCTGAAATACGAACATCGGAATTTGCCATTGTATACGAGCGGCGTGAAAGCATACTTTGACCGTAGCCGTATCTTAGGATAGCAGCGATCAAAAGATCTGAAACTTTCACAATCAACTATTCTTATTAAGCCCTTATCTCTATACAAAGCTTCGATTAGAAACTCAATGTTCCTGAGAAGGATCACGGCATGCTGCTGAAAAAATATAGCACTCCGGCAGTAATAAGATATTAGCTCAAACTCTTTTCAGAGTAATCATAGCTTATTAGAATGTATATGATGCATCTAGTCTCAACTCAAAAGCAATTTAACACTTCGAAGCGTTTTCTTGTTAAACATTTGTATTCTTATTTAGTTTTGAAATCTTTCATTTTATTCATTAATTTTACTAGGATCATGTAACACGTCGAACAGCTATGAATCTTGTTCTTGAAGTTGCTCGTGAAAAGAAAAAACAATATATATTTTTAACACCACAAGATCTGAGGTAAAAATCGAATTTATTTATTTATTTATTAATGAATTATTTTTTTTTTTTTTTTGTTTTTATTAGTTTTCTTAAAGTTACTGATGACATGCGTATTCTACGAATGCCTCAACCAAAACGTACACTAATGCAGATAAATAATGATAATCATTCCGATTAAATATATTTTCGTTTTTATACAGTATGTCTTTAGTTCAAAATCCAAGAAGGAAACAGTACTGATACATTTAATCTCATCATTTATTGTTTTTTTCTTCTCTTTGTATATATTCTGATTAAATGATGTGCATATAGTCAGATATTTTATTCTCTCTACTTATATCATATATTAAAAAAAAATTCAGCAATGTATTTTTTTTTTCCATTTATTTCTTATTATTTGTTTTCTATTTGTTAAATGATGGTGTATTCCTTCTACTTTATTATTATTATTTTCTTATTCTTATGTATATTTTTAATAATGATAATGATTGAGCCTTTTCTTTTTTTTTGTTCAGATATAGATATATATATGTGTGTGTACAGATCTCTATTTTCTATTCAACTATTAAAATATATAAACGTAGAATCTGATCGTTCTTTTTTGTTTTTGTTTATTTCAAGATTATTCGTATAAAAAGAAATATGTTTCTAATGTATTATCTTAATGATAAAGGTGAACGTGTTTATACGTTCAAGGTAAGTTATTTATTTTATTTGAATGCTTTTTTGAACAATGGTGTGTCTTTTTTTGTTTTCGTTTGTAGAAAGTCGATCCATGGGGAAATCCTACACAATCGGCTCATCCAGGTATTTGTGTTGTTTGTTAATGAATATTATCTAGAAAAAAATTTATTATAATTTTTAGCTAAATTTTCACCGGATGATCAATATTCACGACAACGACTTAAACTCAAGACACGATATCGATTACTTTTAACACAAACGCCACTTGCTAAGTGTTAAACTTTTTGTCATGTGAACACCTTGATAACAAGAATGTTAAATTGTCGTTGCTGTTTTCAAATAAATGAAACCATAAAAATCGATCTAATATAGGAGAAACTATAATTGTATGATATTCATTTTATTTCCGTTGATTATTATTTAAGAAGTTTGTACATTGTCTTAAATTCTATGTTTAAAAAATTAAGAATTTACCGTACTTCTATATTTCAGAAAGCTTTCTAATTAGCTAAACAATGATTTACAAAGGATAAATAACTGACAAAGAAAGGATCGCAACTGATCTACACCATTTTCGCTAGTATTTTGTGTGCACGTGAAGAACTTTATTATTAGAAAAAACTTAGGAGGATTCCGGCAGATGTGGTTTCTTTTCAATAGATGTGACTATATTCATTGTTTCATAAAAAGAGAAATCGTTTTAATAGACTTTGTATAAATCATATGAAAACTTCTTACAAGTTACAATTCTTTGTCATGAGCAGAAGTAGATATGAATTAGGTTAAGAAAATTCTAAAAAGATACTTACTCAAGACCTTCTGGTTAAAAATCAACACTTTTTTTACTAAATTTTGGACTTATAGCCAGGATTTTTTTGATAAAAATTGAACTAAAGAATTTTGATCTGAAACTTTGTTAGCAGATTGATCTAGTTGTTCTTAGAATACTCTTGTAAGTTTTAACCAAAATAAATATTTCTTTTTCTTGTTAGAGTGGTTCACTCAGACGTAGAGACCTGCGTAATCATGGCTTTTTAGTCATGGTGACGCATGACCGATTTACAGGTTTCTACATATCAGTCAAAAAGAAAACCTACCGATAAACATGAAAACGATGACGAAGATTGTACTTCAAAGAAAAGCAAAATTAATGAAGGAGATTAACATGAATCGTTAAATGATAATTGTGACAATGGAACAGATAACTAGTGATCATCAGAATAATAGTATAGTTGTGATTTTTACTAAATAATTTTGTTCATTGTTGTTAATTAAGATTAAATATAAAATATGAACAGAATAAAAAGTTTCGGTTTTTTTTTGTATTTCAATTGAAATTCGAGCAAGATATCAGTGATAAATTACAACAATCTTAGTTCTTTGTTTCACCTACCAACATGTCTGAACTAATATCAAATATTCATAATTATTATTACAATATACTGCAGACTAGCTTAGATTATACATGAGTTTCATTCTCGATAGAAGTTATTATAACTACTTTTATGTTTTTGAAAAAACAAATCATGAGTTATTTCGTTAGCATTGGTTTCATTCTGCGATTTATGTACTATTAAAGATTACAGGACAATATTGAAAAACTTCAATAAAAACTCTTGTATATTGACGAAACGCGGCATCTTTTGCAGGAAGACATTTATTCATGTTTAACCAATCGTGAATGTCGCAAAACGAGAGAGAACTCATGTCATGTATACAGAACATTTTTTTTGACGTTCTACTTCCATAAAACATTCTCTTTCTTTTCATATTACTGCATTGTATTAATTGTCACAATTCATTTTACCTCAATCTAGGAATAAGATCATTATTGTAAGCAGTTTCATGATGAAATTATTATAAATATAAGGAAAATAATTTTATGATAATTTGTTTTTTTTTCTTAACGACTTTGTATTTCATAAAAGATTAATACATTATAAACATTTTGTCAGCATGTAAATATATCTAACGACAAATTGATCATGCATTTGACTTACATACAGTTGCAATTAAAATATAAAAATGATCATTTCTGTTTTAAATTCAAAAATATTTACAATATGAAAATTTTATATTTTATAATGAAAATAAAATTATTTTTTCTTATCTGCTGTTTTTCTTTAGCAAATGTAAGTTTTAAGTTCATAAATATAAACCAAAATATTTGCCGACTAGTCTCACATTTCTTTTGAAAAAAGTAGACTCTCTTCAACGTTTTCTTTAAGCTCAAACATGATATTCATCAATTTTTTTCTAGAATTTAAAAAGATGAAATTTATTCCATTTTTTGAATTAAATTATTTTACTCGATTAATCATAGATCTTAATATATTATATTCATTGATGAGATTAAGAATTTGTAAATATCCTTCAATAATTGTTAGTTGTTTGTATCTCGCTAAACCATTGCTAACTCAAAACTCTATAATTTTGACGTATACTTTTTACTAACGGGTTACTTTACATGTAGAAAGATTCAAACGATAATTTGGAAATTTGTAACTGTTGCTTTTTTTTTCTACAAAAACTATTTTATATTTAAAAAGTATTTCACAAAATAGTATAATGATTCAAATCTTTCAATACTGTGTCGATCTATTTATTTTATTATGCTAGATCTTTATTCAAAATGTCTGCTAGGGTTTTTTTTCTCTTTAATCATATAGAAAAAATATTGGTTAGCATTCGAGTGCGAGTCAAATTTGTTTAAGAAAATGAATAATAATTGTTTCGAAGTCAACATACTATACTAAAATGAATATCGATTATAATTTGAAAACAAATTTATTATGATTTATGAGTTCTAATGTCAAGTAAAGAAAGGTAACACTTCTGTCGTAGAGAAATTTTTAATTTGTGAAACTACGTCGTTGCTGAACAATTCTCTTGTAATGTTTTTTTTCATATAATCGAATTCTTGATTTAAATATTTAAACTTTACTTATTTTTAGATCGACTCACTTTTTCAGATACCTTCAGATGATGTATATACTTATCGAAATTTTCATCATTGTAAGTTATTTTTTTCGGCTTGCTTTTGCTGTTAAAGATGTCTCTTTTTTAGACCAATTTAATCATTGACCAAGTTATTACTGCTAACGTTTGCAGCAGTGGACAATGTAAATGCTCTACTGACTTCACTCTCATAAATTGTGATACAAAAGGATGGAGAAATCTGGATGATGTTGATTTTCCTTTAAATGTTGTTACTTTAACACTAATTAATAATAATCTCAAATTTAATACAAGTAAAAATTAATCAAACAAATCTGTTTAATTAATATACCCTCTCTCTCTCGCTCTCTTTCTTATTGTAGTTACTGATCTTGCAAAAATTGAAAATTTATCGAATTTGATCAATTTAAGTATTAATCAAAATCCACTTGGAACTATTCCACCTTTTAATCATACACAACTTCGTTTTCTTTCATTACAAGATACTTCATTAACATCTGCTGAATTTCCTTCTTCGTATAATAATTCACATTTACAAGCAATTTCACTTAGTAATAATAAAATTCACTCGATCAATGAAGAAGATTTTCTAATTCTGCGTGGTTCTAATTTAAAAAAATTACATATCGATAGTTCAAGTATTTCTAAGATTGATCAAAATGCTTTTATTCCATTAACACAACTTCAAGCATTATCATTAAAAAATAATCAATTAAAATCTTGTGAATTTCTATTAAGTTTACAAGCACTTTCTTCAATTAAACTTGATGGAAATCAATTTACTTCACTACCACAACAATTAACAACACCAAGAAATATTAAAACCTATTCATTTATACATAATTCAATATCAATTATTGATGAATCATCACCTTTATCTAGATGGTTTACAATGAATTATACAAATGTTAAAATTTTTTTAGCTAATAATCCATTTAATTGTTGCTTATCTTTATGGTTTATTCGTTTTATAAAAACATCTCCACAATTTGTTGGAGATGTTTCAGTATTAACATGTACTTCACCACTAATTTTTGCAGGAAAATTATTGATTAAACTCAATCCAGATGAAATGAATTGTGGTAGTGATATACCAAGCAAATCATGGTGGACAACTGGTCGAATTATCAGTATTGTCGTTGGATCTGTTAGTATGATTATAATCATGATTATCCTCATCATTGTTTATACTCGACGATATTCATCACATTCCGGTTACGAACCAATTGGTGGAAATGATGAACTATATTCTAATTTAGATACAGCATCGTTGGATGAACATACATCAACAATACCAGAAGATGACGACGAACTATTAACGAATGCAAGTATTGGTAGTACGAGAAGTATTGCTCCGACAGATGCACCAACACATACGACAGCTGAAGGTGTTTATGCAGCAGATGGAAGTTTAGTTGGAGGTTCTCAAATAGAAGAAGCAGCCTTAATACAGCAGTTTTGATTCGTCGACTCTCTTTTTTTTTTTCTTATTTGTTTTACTTAAATTTCAATCGGTGTTCCTATATAGTATTCTTTGTTTTCAATCAATCTTTTATTCTATTCTTATTAGAAAACATTTTCTTCTTGTTATGTGCATTCATCTCAGTGAATATGAATCTATTTTGCACTATATCTCGACTATTCTATTTCTCGAGTTAAAAAGATAAATTTTTATTTTTAATCAACAATATTATAAAAAGCTTTGTTCCGTAGTATTCATTTGACAGTATTTTAGATTGAATTTTTTCTGTTAAACATAATTCATAATAAATTATTCGGTGAAATAAAAATTTTAAAAAATTAAAGATATTTCTCTAAATAACTTATTTATTTTGGTTGATTTTCATTCTTCTTATTGATTTAATTACTAGTGAAATTCATAATGTATGTAAAGTAGATACTTGTGATAATGTTGATAAATCAATCATTGTTCATTATTATTTAAAAACCTTATCTACAGAGTATCCTAAAAGTTTGCTGGAAAAGTAAATGTTTATAGCTCTCATACAATTCAAGTGATTTAATTATTTTTTTCATAATATGATAGTATGTTCTATGAAGTTTTCTTTATCATATCGTCCAATAAATATCTGCCACACCAAGGTCCTAGAAGAGATAAGGTTACCGTACCGCTGACGCCGTCGCAGTCGCGACAACGTCATCATGAACATTGCTGATCTACTAATGTCGAACAAACCGCCGATTAATCGCGGCTCTTCTGCTTGTTTTTTTTTATATCTCATCGTATGAATATTTTTACATTTAGAATAATGCTGGATTTCAGTCGAAATACGCACTCCCATAGAAATTTGAGTGTGTTCATGCTGTTTGTACTAGCCATATCGGCTGTTTTTGCTTAGTTTTCGAGTTTGATTATTCATTAAAGATGGCGTCACATAAGTACTCATTGATCAGAAGACTTAATTGATAGGAAAAGTATGGCACCATCTGATAAAATATGCTATGGCATATTAAGGCTACCTTTTCTGAGTAGCAACCAATCTATTTCAGACAGAATATATTAATTTATTAAAAAAAATTATAAAAACTTAATAAAAAAAAGGAGTAAAACGTTCGAACTGTTGGTTTTGATAAAAAATTAACGACATGAATCTCATGGAATCAAAAAAATGTCATGACTTTCGTAAATTTTATATCAACAACACGAAAAAAAAGGCATTTCTTATGATGAAATGGACAAAACAATTGATGAAAATTGACATTTTAATTAAGTAAATGCAATGAATTTCCTTTTTAATCAAAATCATGCGATGAAATTAATGAAAATGTTTATTTTAATCGATGAATTTGAAGTTCATCAATTTTTTTGTCCGTTTCATTATTTTAATGTCATTTTTAAAATTTTATCAGTGGCGAAATTCAGGTCATCTTTAATGATCCAACAAAACTTATTCGTTGAATTAAGCAAAGAAAGGGCTAGATGTAGATTGTAGTAAAGATACTGACATTGCTTTTATGAAGTTGGTATCGTTGGAAACCAATAACGTTTTGAAAAACCTTGCATAATTAAGAAAGAAATGCTGAATGAAGATTGTAACGTTTGATAGAATGAATGACAATAAAGTGTTCAATGCGTTACAATAGCTTATTGATTTTCACAATCGGTTGTGCATCAAATTATGAATCGATATGCTTTGCTGAAATTGTAACAGCTTTGATGTAATTAATAACGTCAAGAAAACGATTTACAACATTAAGTTAAAATTTTGCAAAAAAAAAACATTTATATCAACGCTAGAGCACAGTTAGAATTGAAAAAAAAAATTATTTTTGGAACAAATTCACTTTTCATTTCAATCGATTTATCAATCAACATAAAATGAAAATTAATTGTCGATGTAATGTTTTTAAAAGATCAGGTTCAATGGAAAATTGGAGCTGATTATGAAAATAAATCGATGGAAGAAAACATAATTGTATTGTGTTATTTGGATATTTTAAAAATAATGGATTTAGGTGTTTTTGCTAATATTAATCACTGTTAACATTTGTTATTCAATTAAATTATATTAAATAGAGCTTCAAAGGACACAATATCATATTAGACAAAAAAATAATCAAATCGCTTGAGTTTTTTCAAGAAATAATTACGTTTATTTTTCTTACGAACTTATGAGATACCCTGTAATTTAACTAATATTATATTTAATTCAACTATTGAAAGTAATTTTTTAACATTGAAATCTAGTAGATTTAGTTATTAAATTTTGTGAAACACAATCTAAAAGAAATATCGAAGTATATAGGGTAGAAATTCGTACCGACCTCCTACCATCCTTTTCGCATATCATGACAGACATTACTGTAGTAATGTCACAGACAACTTGCCGGTCCCTCCTCCTTTTGTCAAACATCGTCACAGACACATTCGCAACATTCCAAAACTCCACGTCACACACGGATGACAGACGGGGTTGATATACGATCACAGACCGTATATCAATAACGTCTTGTTATCATAGTAAAAGGATGATGATAAAATATATCCTAAACTAAATAGAATAAAACAATCTTCTTGTGATTAGCAACAGCAGTTACATCATGTTTCATATTTTAATTCCAAAGAGATTGCACTAACAACTTTTTTCTTTTAAATAATCGTTAGTTCCTTTTTTTTTAGTTGATGATCTTGCAAAAATCAATAATATAACATCATTAAAGTCTTTGCATATTTAAAAACCGCACAAGTCTTGAATCAAATGCACTTTCAGATAATTATAAATCTTTATCTTCATTAAGAAAAACCTTCCCCAATAGTACAGATACTTCGAATAGTATTTTAAAAAATTCTTCAATTAAATTTCATTAGTATCGAATTTACTTAAATCAACTGAATTTCTTTTCTCCAATGAATTATCTTCTTTTGATTAATGTTAATAAAAATAAATTTAAACAATTATCAACAGAAATGATAACACCAGATCGAACAAAATATTGCTTTTTTTCGAAATAATCAAATAGATACTATTGATGAATTATAATCACTTTGGTATTGAATCACAACCAACTATAAATCTTTTATTGAAATTTATTTAGATAATAGTCAATTTTATTGTTGTTAATCTCGTTAGTTTATTCATTATCTTACTAGACTAAATTATTCTTGTTAAAGATTCATTTAATCTCACTTGTGCTTTAGCAAAAATTTCTATTGATAAAACGATTGACTGATTTATCTGCTGATCTAATGAATTGTCCAACTGAACCATTTTATCCACTAAATATTCGTTTAAATAGATTAGCAATAATTATATTATATGTTATTAATCTTGTGATTTTTATTTTTGTCCTTGTTGAAATAATTTTATATAGACGTAATAGATTTCATTTTGACCTTTGATAAATCTATGAAACAATCTATGGCAATAATTTACTTGCTCAAAAACTAAGTGTTATAATTTTATTAACGATCTATTCATATCTTTTCTAAATTACTAAATAACCTTTTTTTTCATGTGTCTGGTGATGTTTCTTTCTTACTTTTTTTTTGTTTTCATCGTTTTTCTTATATAAATATATTTTTTCTAAAGAAGAAAAAAGTCCTAATTGATTGAGCAGTTAGTTTATATTCTTAATAAAAGAAAAGTTCTCTTTTTATTCAATGAAATGAAAAACTCTCTTTTCTTTTTTCTTAACTGCGTAATTTCGAATGAATCATTTTTAAAAGTATTAAAACAACTACATTATTCATTAGTAAATATGTATATTTGATCAGTTTTCAAAAAAAAAACAAAAGAACAATGTTTTTTTTAATATAATTAATATTTACAATGATTAAAATAAAAGAAATTTATTCTATAAGAAACAAATCGTCTTCTTCTGGTGGAATAACAGCAACAATAGGTAGCAATTGTTTATTTTGTTTAACAACAAGTTTCGGCAGTGTTTTTCTTGCTGCTATCCTTCTAGAATTAGTAGTTTTACGATTAGTTTTTGACTTTTTTCTTAGTTCATTGTCTCCCTCTTCACCACTTTCCATATCACTAGTAGAAAATGTATTTTCCGTAGTAGCACCATCAGAATATGATGAAGAACGCCGTTCAAAAGCATCCATTCTTGGTAGAGTTAATAGATTTTGATTGCTATTATTTAAACTTACAGATAATTTTAAATGACGCATTGGTAATGTTCCAGTCCAAGAACTTGTTCGGCGCATATCACGAAAAATAACTTCACTTGTTGAACGACCACGCATTACTAAAGGTTGATTAGTAAGTGCAGAATTTAAATTACCACTAAGTGATGCTAATCTTTTTTCAAGTCGTTTTTGTTCAAATGTAAGTAATTGAAGAGTATTAACTGATTTTCGTCGTTCAGCATCAAGAAGACGTTGTTCAGCAACAACATGACGATCTTGTGCTATCGTATGTTTTGTACGTGTATCCAAAAGACCATTATGAAATGGAACAGTACGTTGTGGTGGATGAAAAAACTAGAAATCATTTTAAATTCGACAATTATTTAGCATATTAATATTCTTACTTTAAAAGTAAAATCAAAGTCTGATTTAGGCATTTTAAAACACCTTGAACTGTCAAACAACAACTATTAATCACCTATGTGCTGCCGTAGATATAAATACAAAGTTTTTCTCTTTTCTCCTCTATATTTGTTATCGCTTGATCATCGAGAGCCGTAGAGGAAAAAAGAATAGCAGCAGTTTTTCTCAAAAATAGATGACGAATGAGAATATTTTCATTAGTTTTACTTCACGCCATAACCTCCATTGTGAACAATGCATGACTTAAGAACATATTCATTCTTTTTTTGTTTTTAATATTAAGCCTTAAAGCTTTTCAATCAAAACTATATTTTGTTTTTCTTCTTATGATAAAAATAGATTGGTCGTTCTCTTAGTTTTTTTTACTGATCATATTATCCTAATTTATGCACGATATTCTCTTGACAAATATATCTGAAATAACTTAAAGTTCTTTGTGCTATACGTTTAGTTTTAAGTGTTTCTTCACAATAACCTCGTCGCCAACTTTGTCTTGTTTGAACAAATGAATAAACTTCATATAATTGTTCACATGGTATTCGACTTTGATGATCACTATCTGTTTCTTTTTCTAATCGATGATTCCATGGAAGATTTTCACAAATGTCTAATCTTTTAATAGAAATCATTGCATAAGGATTACGAATACTATATATAAGTATTGGTCCAAATGGACGAAATTGAAAAGGAAAAACATCAGTTTTTTGTAGATAACCAATTTTCATATTTAATTCATCATTATTATATGAATCAAATATATGAGTAGAATTTTCTTGATAGAAATAAATTTCAATTTGTGGCCAACTTTTATCTTCAGTAAAAACTCTATAAATAAATCCAATTTGTTTTTTATTAATATATGTGTCATTTACTTGTTGTAATACAAGTTGAAAATTTTTATTAATATCATTTGTGAATTTTTTTTTACTCAATAATGGTAAATTAAATTCAATAATTGAATGCCATGGTACAATATCATGATGACGTAGAGCACCTAATAAGGTATTTTGTCCAATAAAATAATCAATATTTAATTCAAATAATACAAATTGAACTTTCATAATTAATACAATTAACTCAAAATAGGTACATGATGAAAAATACATATTTTGTAAAATATTATGATTTCTTGAACGAATTTCTTTTAGATTGTAATCAAAGAACAGACCAAAAGCAGTTAAATGTCTTTGAAGATCAGTATTATCTACAAGTAATTTTTTTGTATATTGATTCAGATATTGATGAATAAAATTAAATGATAATGATGATGATGAACAAATAGTTTTTGTTCTTTCTAAATAAAGTTCAAATGATTTTGACCAACTTTGTACAATTAATGACCAAAGTTCATCACGTTCCTTATTATCATTTGTATGAAGAAACTGATCGATTAAATTTGTCATTACAAATGGATCAGATGTATTGTAAATAACAGATTTATGGTAAATAGTTTGCTTATCAGTCAACAATGATATTGTGAAAAAATGTTTGAATGAAATAATACATGCAATGATAATACAAATAATTAATGAACGTCGACGAATAAAAGTTCTGGAACGCCGAAACATAATTAATGTTTTTGTTTTAGTTTGACTTTTCTATTTTAATTAATGTACTTTTTTTTCCATTTTTTTCGGGTGTTCTAAATGTTCATATTCATTCATGCGTAATGTACGCGTCATTTTTTTCTTTGACATCTATTCGTACTTTTATTTCGTTTCGTTATGGGTGGACGCATTCGATGAGGGAAAAATATGTCATATTGTAATAATGACAATGCAGACGGATAATTAAAGACAAAGAATAATCATGATATTTTAATTAACTTTTTTTATTTCGGATGATCAAGTTCATAAAAATCAAACAAACTATTAATTATATATATAGTCCACGCCCATTGAAAGTATACCCTTCGAGTTTTTTGTTTTTTATTAATATACGTTTTTTATGTATTAACCTACTATATATAGGAGGAAAGCCCGAAATGCGCTGCATCTTTTGGTATATTTACATTGACCATCAAATGCAGTTTGAAGTATAAAAAGTGTATCAGAAAAAAAAGTGACATTTTTTCTTTTACCAAATTTTGGGTATCCGTATTGGTATAATATTTTTTATTTCGCATATATCTCGGTTTAGGTAAATGATAAAATGTTGAATTTTTTCCAAAAGATGCGCCATGAAAAGCTCTACAAAACCTGCATGATCGAATTCTTTTTTTATCTGCTCTGGTGGTTTTTCTGATACTCACAATGAAACAACTTACATAGCAGTATCACTTCTCATCATGTAGAAAACGTTTCGAGGACTTCTCTGATTCACTATAGGACTTGGTCTATACAAGTTTTGTAGAGCTTTGGACGGCATACCTTTTTGAAAAAAAAATTCCATATTCCGTCATTTTCTCAAGTCGAGATATATGGCGATCAAAATAGTCTTCCAACAGTTCCAGTATGATGGTGAAGTGACACTGGCATGTAATTTGTTTATTTTGAGTATCAGAAAAATCACTAGAACAGGTAAAAAAAAAAAGAATTCGATTATGCAGCTTTTGTAGAGCTTTTCACGGCGCATCTTTTGGAAAAAAATTCAACGTTTTATCATTTACCTAAGTCGAGATATATGCTAAATAAAAAATGTTATAACATTATGAACACTGTGGCAAAAAATAAAAAGAGACTTTTTCTTCTAATACACCTTTCATACTTTAAACTGCATTTGATGATCAATGTAAATATACCAAAAGATGCAGCGCATTTCGGACTTTCTTCCTATATATAGTGGTTGATAGATAAAAACGTATATTAATAAAAAACAAAAAATTCGAAGAGTATACTTACAATGGGCGTGGACTGTATATAATAATTAATATTTAAACTTTAATTATTAATTATTTACAATGTAATGCTTAAATACAAACTATAGTTTTAAGTTGTTTTGATAGATGAGAATAGAGTCGTTCTAGCCATATCACAAGAATTAGTTTTTGATTGTAACAGTTAAGAATAAATCTTTATTTTGTTCTTTTCTCATTTGCTATAACACAAATTTTTAAATAATAAATTGTAGAAATGAAGAAATTATTATTAGAAAAATCATTGATTAATTTTTCTATGTGAATTATTTAATTATAAACTCAACAGGATTACGTTTATAAATGCTCGAATTATAAAATAACATATTTTATTAGAATTTTTCTGAGTCATATTATTAACTTTCACAAAGTAGTTATTTGATTTGACTCATAGGGGTTGTTCTTTGAGTATGTCTAGTTTAGTACTTTTATGAAGGCTTGTAATATGAGTAATATATTTCTTTACGACGTATGACAGAAATCAATTGCGTCATTTCGAATTTTGTATATTTCTAAGTCCTATGACATATAATTACTAATGATTTCCCTCAATTTCAAAAATTTATGTAACACTTTCAAATAAATGTATAGCTAAAGTAAAATGAACAAAAAATTCTTTATTGATATTATTCACTTTGTCTAAATTTGACATATTAATAATACTTGGTGTAAGATAAAAATATGTTTGAACATAATAAAAAACAAAAAAATAAGTTTAGAGTAGAATGTAGATATTTGCATGATAATTACTCTCTTTTTTTGGCGTGTGTTATTTTTTTGATCCATGCAAGAATTATTACTTGGTTTCTATAATGCTTGTTTTTTTACTTCTTTCATTTTGTAAAATCAGAAAGAATATTTTATATCGAAAAAAAAATTGAATTTTTTGCGTTTGATGCTTTACAACTTTAGTGTTTGGACATTGAAATATATTGTTGATTCTTCCAATAGTATAGAATATTTTACCATTCTGTTCGGGAAAAAAAGGGCAAAAAATGTATTATTTTTCACCTTAAAATGCACTTCAGTGACATTTTACTGTTCTAGAATCTTTCGAAGGGAGTAAGTTGAGAAGAGCAACAGATGAAAGTGTATGATGCTTTTATGCATTTTGTTTTCTTGCATATAACGATGTTTGTATTATTTGTTCTGTACGGCCGAAAATAACAAGCAACTGAAGAATAAAAAGAAAAAAAAGAAAAAAAAAGAAAAAATCGTAGATGACGTCAAAGAAAAAGAAATATGACTCGAAATAAACACATAGTGTGCACATAGACATGCGGAATTACCTACGCAGTCAGATTTTTCTGCTACCCCCTTTTGCGTCGATCTATGTATACAAGAATAATAAAAAGAACGCAAGAGAGGTGTGTCTCAGCGTTTATTCTATGCTTTTCCATTGTTTCTTAACTTTGTAATATACAACATTGCATCATTGACAATTTTCAAATTCACATATTTAGTGTTTTTTACATTTTACTAACATATTTTTATCATGGCTTTGGATTTTGGCTTTGGTTTTATAGCTGGTGTGACTGGTACAGTTGCTGGTTATCCATTTGATACAGTAAAAGTTCGTCTTCAAACACAAACACTCAGTCATCGTTTATATTCTGGTTCATTAGATTGTTTTATTAAAATTGCAAAACAAGAATCAGTATTAGGTTTTTATAAAGGCATGTCATCACCTATGTTTGGTGTTGCAATTATTAATGGTGTTGTATTTTCTGTTCAAAATGCTTCAAAAAATTTATTTGATGATCCTGACTCATATAAAGCATTAGCAGTAACAGGTGCTATTGCTGGTAGTGTACAAGCTTTTATTTGTTCTCCAATTGAACTTGTTAAAACACGTTTACAAATACAAGGTATTGGACAACAAAGAAAATTATTTACATTAACAACTCATTTATATAATGGTCCAATTGATTGTTTAAAAAAATCTTATAACAGACGAGGTTTTCGACATGGTGTTATGCGTGGTTTATCGATGACACTTGCACGTGATATTCCATCGTTTGCTGCTTATTTTCCAGCATGGAAATTTTTTGTTACACATGTTTCTCCAACGGGTAGAGAAGTAGATATGCCTATGTACATGAGTTTATTAGGTGGTGCTTTTACTGGTACTGTTGCTTGGACAGTATCATATCCATTTGA